GTTATTACTAATATTAATTGTACGACCATCTTATCTTTCCGAATACAAGTATTGGTATTAGTATTAGTGATATGTGTGTTACTACCAAGTATTGTTAATACGATTGCGATTATGACGAGTACAGTTAGTATTACTAGTGGTGCTGATACTAAGATACAGATGTGTGCGCATATGTATATATACATATATATACGCATTCCTGGTCGCCTGAGGGATACATGCCGATTCCTTGTTGAAACGGGGGCTCTCTCTTGAGGGCAATTCACGTGCGGCGCGACCTCTTTCAAAAGAGGCGCTTGGCGCAGCGAGGATGAATTCGCATGGGAATCAGAAAGGGCGACCTCGCGACACTTGGGCGTATTGCAGCATCGTTGAGAAATCCTGGGTTTACTCTGGTCATCCTCTTCCCCTCCCTGCTCTTCGAAGTCAGAAGCCTGGGCCTCCTGGGACGCCCTCAGCGCCATGGCTCGAATCGCCCCGAAAGTCCCCCCAGGGCGGGCCGGCTTTCAGGACCCGTTCCTCCAGCGGCAGGAGGTGGTCCTGGCGAAGGGCCCAACCATCTGCAGTTGCGGGGGCCGCAGTTCTGCGGAGTATCTTCGGTGGTGCTCCCCCTTGGGGCCACGAAACGTGCGCGTGGTGTGCCGAAATGGGCGGGGAGCCGCATGCGACCCCTGCCACTGGGGCCTCCCGTGGAGCCACCTCTGGGGCCACGACACGAGTGCGGGACGTGCCGAAGTGGGGGGGTGAGCCGCATGCGAGGACGGCCAGTGGGGTGGCAGGTGGAGCTAGCTCCGTACCCACGTATGCGGCGTCCTGATTTTTCCAGTACGGCGTCCCCGAAGTCCCGATCTTTCCCCAGGACTGGCTTCTCACCCTGAGTCGTTGTCCGACGGTCCTGGGGCCCTGCGAGGGGCCCCAGGAGCAAAAAGTGGCGGCAGACTTCCCGCCCGGAGCTTCTTGCGACGCGGGCATGTCTGGGCATGGGGCCACGAGACGTGTCAGGACCCGTCCCTGCGATGTACATCCCGACAAAGAAACGCGGGCCAGGCAAGGGGCAGAAACGAGCAAGAGAGCGAGGAGCCGAGGAGCGAGAAGGGGAGGGGGAGAGGGAGGGAGGACGACAGGAAAGGACAGACCGGGCCGACAGACGGACGGACAGGGGACGGGGAATTGGGGGGCGGAAAGATACGGATACGTGTTGTCCCCGGACCTCTCTTGGGGTGCGTTCTGACCAGAATTTCGAGGCGAATCCAGCGGTGACAACGAGGATTCCCCAGGAGGACCAGGAAAGGCCGAAAACGACGGGGGACAACACGTATCGGTATCTTTTTCTCCCCCGAGGGAGGGAGGGAGAGGGAGGGAGGACGACAGGAAAGGACAGACCGGGCCGACAGACGGACGGACAGGGGACGGGGAGGGGGACAGGGAGGGGGACCCGTCCCTGCAGTGCCGAAGCCAGATCCTGGAGGCGGCCGCTCCTCTGCGGCGCGGGGGGCTCCCCCGGTCCCTGCCCTCGGCGACGCCGCTGGCCACCCGCGGGCCTCCAGAGCTCCCCGTGCAGGCCCTTCGGGCCTCGGGCCGGCCTCCCACCCTGGGGTGTCGGAGGCCCGCTCAGTGAGGGGGCCACATGCGAGCCCTGCCCCCCCCCACGATTTCTGAGGGGGAGGGAGTGGTTCACTTCGCTGGGGTTCCCCCTCAGATTGTTTTTTTCTACACATGGGATGCCTGCGAATTGGATTGTTGTAGGTGTTTTTCTAATCCTCACGTTCCGGTTCTTCCAAAATGTTGCTCCCGCAGCGCAGGCCTCGTGTCCGCGCTTCCTCTCGATCCGAATCGTGTTCCCGCTATAGCGCTGACCTCGTTTCCGCGCTTCCGCTCGTACCGAATCGTGTTCCCGCTGCCGCGCTGTCCGCGTTTCTGCTCGCTCCGAATCGTACCCAGTTGCCCTCCGAGCAGCCTAGTGCCATGACATGCACTGCGGCGTTGTGTTCTGCGCGCCTTTGCGATACCATGCGTTACGCTGTGCCGTGCTCTTCTATGCCATACGACGCCGTGCGCGAATTGTCATGCATCTCGTACCCTCTGGGCGTCATTGCCCTGCTCGACGTCCGACTGTGCGAATATAGAGAAGAGATCTACGCCACGGTAAGGGATGGGAGGAAGGGGTAGGACACGTCAGATCAGACGCTTGCGCACCTAGCTCGCCCCTCCTCCCTCGTCAGTCCTGCCCCCCCCCTCCCCTAGTCCCACCAACCACCCGATCGCCCCCCCCCTCCCCTTTTTCCTCCTACCTCTCCTCCCACCCCTCCTACTGCACCCCTCCTCCTTCCTCCCTCCGCCCCCCGAGAAAAACCATCGGAAGTGATTACACATTCGGTGCCGATTCTTTGATTTTCTGGGCCGCAAAAGCCCCGCCACGCCCCGCTACGCGTTGTTCAACACCATGCTATGCCACGTAATGCTACGCCATGCTACGACATCCGATTGTGCGAATAGAAAGAAGATCTACGCAATGGTACTGGAGGGCAAAAGAGGGGTAGGACGGCAGATATGACGCGAAGGCACCTAGCTTGCCCCCCCCTCTTTTCCCCGAGGACTGCGGGGGGGGGGGGGGGGGGGGAAAGCGGCGGGGCCGCGCCTGGGCTGGATTGGCTCTTCGCGAACGTGATGTACAGCGGCTCCGCGACGCCAGGGGGAATCCGCCAGAGCCCAGCCAAGGCCAGGCGGCGCCGGGGGCGTCGACCGTCGTCGTTGTCGTCGTCATCGTCGTCGCCGCCGCCGCCGTTGTCATGGTCGTCATCGTCGTCGTCGTCGCCGTCGTGGTCGTCGTCGCCGTCGTCGCCGCCGACGCCGCCAGTGTCGCCGTTGTCGTCATCGTCATCGTCACCTCCTCGTCCTCCCCCTGCTACTCCTCTCCTCCTCCTCCCCTCCTCCTCCTCCTCCTCCTCCTCCTCCTCCTCATCTCCTCCTGCCTCCTATTCCTCCTCCCATTCTCCTTCCCTCCTCCTCCTACTCCTCCCTCCTCCTCTCCTCCTCCCCCTCCCTCCCCCTCCTCCTCCTCCTCCTCCTCCTCCTCCTTCTCCTCCTCCTCCTCCTCCTCCTCCTCCTCCTCCTAGCATTCTTAATCAGTTTTACTTGCTCGTATTTTTAGCGTTCGTCTTCACAGCTCTGCTATTACTCGTGTTATAGTCCTACTACTACTACTACTACTACTACTACTACTACTACTACTACTACTACTACTACTACTACTACTACTACTACTACTACTACTATGACGACGACGACGAACTACTACTACTACTACTTCTCCACCACTACTACTGCTACTACTACTACTACTATTACTACTACTACTATTACTACT